TGCTCAGAAGCAGTAACTTTCACTTATGAGTAGTTTTGGGGGGAATAGGGAAAAGCTAGTAATTTAGGAAAGAGTAAAAAAATCTTCTAACTACAAAGTAATAAGATTAAACTGACATCAGACTTGCCATCAACAATACTGAATGTTGAACCACAAAACCTTTAAAATTCAGGGGGGAAAAATTATTTTTACCCTGAAATTTTACTGCCAGCTAAACTAGCAATCAGGAAGGATGGAGAAATAAAGATATTAATTCTGAGCAAAGACAAAAAATAGAGACCCTTGCTAAAATAATTACATGAAGATACATGACAGACACAAAACAGCAAAAGATTCTAGGAAGGAACTCAGATAAGAAAACCAGCGAAGCTACAAAAAACAAGAAAAGCTCATGGGCAGCAGGCTGAAACTATCTTTATAATAAATATGTTATCTGTCTCAGCTAATTACACTGTAGGAGTTAGCAAATTTAGAGGTTTCAAAATATGTAGGAAAAAAAACTATATCAAATCAAAGAAAAACCTACCAAGTTTCAAAATGGGTAAAATGACCAAAATATCATTAGATATGTACAATAAACAAGACACACACCTTATGTTAAAGGTGCATAGGAAATTGAGGGAATAAAAAATGATGCACTAGGCAAATACTAACCAAAAAAAGAAAGGGTAAGGGTCTAGATATAAAATCTATATATAACATATCAAAAACAATTCAGACTGATAACCAGGTAATGGGACCAAAAAAAAGATCTATCCTATCGATAAAAGGTACAATCCACTACAGATGTGTATTTTTGATTTATCTAAATAGTATCAGTCCAATCATATAAAGCAAAAACAGGTTTAAGCAATGCAGGAAGAAATTAATAAACGCACAGAGATAAATATGCCTCTTTTGAAAATCTTCAGATAAAAAAAAAAAGTTATAAAGAATCCCTGTCCCAAACAATCATTCTAGAATAAAAAATATTGTGTACCCAACAAACATAAAATATAAATCTTTCACAAATACATCCAACATAGGGCAGTGCCTGTATCTTAATGGGCAAGGGCGCCAGCCACATACACCTAGGGTGGCAGGTTCAAACCCAGTCCAGGTCTGTGAAGCAACAGTGACAACTGCAACCGAAAAAAAAGAAAAAAAAAATACATCCAATATATATTAATATTGACCAGGAATATGATGACAAGAAAATCTTAATAGTTTTAAAGACAGACCCAAAAAAAAAAAAAAAAAACCACACACAAGGCCATATTCTCTGGCCATAAAGTTAGTAATACTAAAAAGATGAGAGAAAAGCTGTCTCCTTATGAATAAATTAAAAAAATTTAAAAACCTTTTAGATTAAGCCAAAAATGGGTGATAAAATAGTAACAAAAAACTAATAGAATACATTCTAGGGAAATCAACTAAAATGACAGTCATATGAAAACTTAATAGTCTCAAATGCATACATTAACAAAATAACACAAACTCAGAAGCATGAAAACACTAATAAAGGCAAAAAAGTATAATCCCAAAGGAAAGAATTATACAATATGAGAAAATTCTAAGAGAAAACTCAACAAAATAGCAAGCAATCAATGAAACCAAAAACTAGTTCTTTGAAAAGACTTAAAATGGGCTTGGCGCCCCTAACTGCTAAGCCACATACACCAGTGCTGGCGGGTTCAAACCCAGCCCGGGCCAGCTAAAAACAACAATGACAACTGCAGCAATAGAAACAACAACAACAACAAAAAATAGCCGGCATTGTGGCAGGTGCCTGTAGTCCCAGCTACTTGGGAGGCTGAAGCAAGAGAATCGCTTAAGCCTGAGAGTTTAAGGTTGCTGTGAGCTTTGATGCCACAGACTCTACCAAGGGCGACATAATAAGACTCTATTTCAAAAAAAAAAAAAAAAGAAAGAAAGAAAGAAAGAAAATAAAACACTCTGTGGTGAAAATTTAGGCCAGGCACAGTGACTCACATTTGTAATCTTAGAACTTTGGAAGGCTGAAGGCAAGATTGCTTGAGACCAGCCTAGGCAAAATAGCAAGACACCAGCTATAACCTTTTTATAAAAACTTTTTTTTTTTTAAATTAGCAGGGTATGGTAGCTAGTGTCTGCAGACCGACCCAGGAGGATCACTTGAGCCCAGGAGTTTGAGGATGGATTGAGCTATAATCATACAACTACTACACTCTGCTTGGAGACAGAGTGAGACCCCCATGTCAAACAAAACAAAAAATGGAAGAAATTTAGCAAGAAAGATCAAGAGAAAGCATAATAAATAAAATTAGAAATTAAGAAGGAAACATAACTATAATTATAAGATAATATACTCAGTTCGAATGTTCAAGTATATTAAAGGTTATCAATGAAATATAAAGAAGACTGAGGGATTTTAACTCACTGAAAACTCCAAAAATTCAACAGCCCAAGGTAGCTGGATAAAATGGTAATGTGAAGTTAAACTGCAGAGCAAGTACACAGTCCAGGAGAAAGGGGATATTTTTAGAGTATTATGTTTGGTTCTGAGAATAAAGTGCTTTTAAAAATTTGTCACTTCTTAGAATGTATAGAAAGGAAACAACTTTTAACAAGTTTTAGTAAGTGTAGTATTAGAGAATGAACATGCTAATCTGGAACAACATGTTGTAAGAACAATAACTGGGGGGAATGGATACTATTTACCCTAGAAAACAAAGAAACTATAATGGGCTTTCTTAAATAATGCAAATCTGTCATGTAAAAGAGATACAGAAAAAGAGAAAGATAGAAGTGGGAGACTATAGGGTCCGTTGCAGTGGCTCTTGCCTGTAATCCCAGCATTCTCTCTGAAGCTGAGGCAGGAAGACTGCTTGAGCTCAGAAATTCTAGACTAGCCTGAGCAAGACCAAGACCCTGTCTATAGTAAAAATAGAAAAATTAGCTGGGCATCACAGTAAGTGCCCCTAGTCCTAGCTTCTCAGGAGGCTAAGGCAGGAGGATCACTTAAGCCCAGTAGTTTGAGGTTGCTGAGCTTGGCTGATGCCAGGGCATGCACCCTAGCCCAGGTAACAGTGAGACTCTGTCTCAAGAGAGAAAAAGAACATGTAGGGCCATGTGAGGCAAAAAAAAAAAAAAAAAAAAAAAAAGGCAACTTCAGATGCCTAACAAAAAAGGAACTTGCCTTATTTGTCTTATGAAATTATGGACTTTCTCTTCTATCAGTAGAAATGTTGAAGCAGAAACTAGATAATTACCTCTCAAGCATATCAAACAGTAGATTCATGCGCAAAGTGCAGTATTAGAACTACTGACACTTACATTCATTTCCTTTCAAAGATTTTGTGATTACACAACTTGCTAAATAAATTTTGTTACCTAAGAGAAATATAAAAACTCTTTAACCCCCAAATTTTGGATCACTTGCACTCAATTTCAATAGTCTCAAAGATTATACACGTTTATCCTCATGACTTTTATCTCTATCCTACACGCTTTTCAGGTTTTTCTATACACAAAATACACCTCTGTCCTACTTTCCTTCAACTATGACCCTCAACTCTAATAGCACTTAATAAAATCCTCTGTTTTGATCAAACAACTCCTCTCCTCTTTTTCAATATGTAAAAACCAATCTATCTCAACTATCTTCCCAGTTTAACTCTTTCAAACAATTTAATGGCTCCAGAGAAGTCTGAAAAACATTTCCCAATTGTTTTCAGACATGTTATGTTCTTCCCACCACAAGAAGTATGACCTCAAACACATTAACAAAATTGGTTTATTCCTGCTACCATCATTTTACAGAACATATATTAACACAATTTTTTTAAAGCCAAGCAAAGTTGTAAAAACAGTATTTGTTCCTAAACACGAGTATAGCTTCTATCACAACTGGCCCCAGTTTTAAAGTATACAACCAATAAATGACCAATTGCCTTTCAGAAACTAGAGAACTGAAATTCCAATTGCCTTTCAGAAACTAGAGAACTGGAAAATTAACACTTTAAAATTACAGAAAGACTCTACTGCTTAACTTTTAAAGAAGAGGTAAAAAGCAAAGAACTAATCTAATATAACTCCTTTCTTCCACTTCTCTAAACTAACCTCACTACCACTCTTCACTTGATCCTACTTACTCAACTCCTCATGCCCATGCCCTTCTTATTTCATCAATCAGTATCGTTCATCTCTGGCCATGCTGGTATGAATGAACACACATACATATATGTTCATATCTTTACAGTAATGGTAATATATTTATCTTATATAGTGCTTTATTTTTATTTCAATGGGATTTTGTTTTTCTGTATGCAAAATTTCAGGTATACAAAAAAGAGTAACAAATGCTGGTATACCCATAACACAGTTTAAGAAAATAATATTAGAGTCAACAAAATTCCTAATTAATACATTCATTTTAGACTCTTTCAATTTACTTTGTTAAAATGGTGATAAATTTAAATATGTGGACATGGGAACGTAAGGGTAGAACTGGAAAACTTGACCATATTATATATAAAAATTCAAATTATCTAATGTCAATGAGCCAAATGTGAGCACATAAGCACTTCTGATTTGTAATGGTGATTTCAAAGTGGTAAATTTAAATTAAAACTTTATAGTTAGGTATAAGGTTACAAAATGTCATCTCTGCATATACCAGTTGGTGTCACTACAACTGAGAATGTAGCAACAGACTATAATGGAAAAAAAGACCTAAAACTGATTTCTGTGTAATATGAACATATTGTATGCATGAGTAATATTCATATATGAAGCCTACTTTTAGCTCATTTTAATCCAAATATGAGGAAATTTTGAGAAAATAAAAATGACATTTTTTAAGAAGACCAAATCCAAATATGGCATTCAAAATCTCCTAAACAGTAACATTAAAAGCTTACCAATACTATTATAACTAGAACTAAAAACAATTAAATTTTTAAAAATTTCTCAGTGGTGAAAGAGAAATATAAAGCCTAGGGGTTAGGGAGGTGTCACAAAAAAGGACCTGAGTCTCTTACCTGTGGGCAGCTTGATACTGTGAAAAAGGACTTCCTCTTCTGTAAACCACTGTTATTTAGTTCAAGTATAAACATTAAAAGCTTAATGCAGACTTCTAGGTCAGCCTTCTTGAGTCTAAATTTCTTGTTTGGTTCATATTCATAAAAAAAAAAAAAAAAAAACAAACCAGGAATACAGTAGGTTGGCTACATATTAAAATTCCTTTCAAACAGTGGTTCACATCTGTTGTGTAGTTTGTGCAGCAAACATCCCATTAGCCACAAAAGCCAGAAAACGTCAGACAGTACGTCAATGAAGCTCACAGAACACATAAAGTGTATCTTCAAAATGACTGTTTCAAGTGAAAATGCCTAGAATCAGAATTCTTTGTACTGCTTTCTATGCTGCCAACTATTAGGTCTGCAGCAACTGTGTGCAGTTAAGTACCTCCCACATATTACCCAATAGTATCAATAGGCATAAATCTATAAAAGCAGAACTAAAAGCTTAAAAGGCTTATAGCCTCTCACTAGTCCACATATTCACAGTCAACTGTGGTCTCACTACTCCGATTATAATGCATCAACTCTGTTCTTTCAGTCCAAAAGGCTGAATTCTTATACATTCCAAACAGAAAATCCATGACACATATTATTTGCTGCCCTAGCATAGCCAGACTGCAGTTACAGCTAGCTGGCGCCAGTAAGAACAATTTACATAAAGCAATTCCATTTCATGACCAAACTAAAGGAGAGTACTGCTGAGTAAACCCTCCCCATTTCTCCCCAACATGCACTGACTGGTTCTAGAATACATCTAGTTATCTATTTACTAATATAATTCAAATCCAGGTAATAAGAGAAAACTAACTTATAATTCTTATATAACTGAAATTCCACTCCCACCACACAAAAAATATTTTTAACCCCCAGAGATACTCAAAAGCCTTAGCTTTCTTGTGGCATAGACCAATATTGTATAAATGCAATGATTGCTATTTTTAACAATCATTAAAAACATAAATTACAATTCATATTATCTAAAAGCTGTTCTCATGCTACTCTACAACTACCTTTTCAAATTTTGTCAACCAATCATGAAATAGCAAATATCTTTAAATAGATTTAAACTACATAACATTTCACCAAATAGTAAGATTTATGCATCTCTAGGTATCACTGTTAAGATGATTAAATAATTCAATATATTTACATTTACCACTAGTTAGTATTATGAAAGCATGTTCTCATACCAAAACCAAAGCATGTTAAATTATGAATATTTTCATAAGAACACATTCTGTCAGTGCCACATTCTTCTCAAACCCTTAACATTCACATATTGTTTTTATTGGCCAGTTCTGACTGGGCAAGAGTTGAGTCTTTATCTATGAGGTCCTTTGTTTATATTTTTTTTAGTTACTTTATGACCTACCAATACATACTTCTACATTTCCACTGCTCTTTTTCACTTATTTTAAGAGTATAGATACATTAAATTGCATATTCAAATAAGTATCCAAAAATTATTTTAGTGCCACACCTGAAATGATAATAAAATAAAAAGATGTATTTAAAATGCTAATTAGGGGTTATCAAAACTGTTTCTTCTTAGTCTTAACTGTTTTAAAACATTCTTCTTAAGTAACCCTTACTATATGATAAAGATAATGGGGCTCTAAAAGAAGGAAATGATGTATCAGTAGCAAATCACAGGTTTCCAATATGTAAATAATCATAACATTACCTAGGCTACCACTGATAAGCAATGATAGATTTCCTCAAACAACTATATTCTTTTCTCAGGATCTTGTTCCACCAATAGCAGATAAAGTGACAAGAACAAATATGATATAATTCACACAGCATACAACATAGAAGTTAAGGCTTGATGGAAGGAAAGGTCTTATATCATCAAGAGAGCTTTCTATGTGCCATACATATATTGATCATTAAAAAAAATCTCACAGTTGGGAACGAAATCTTAAAAATCATCTAAGTATTATGTTCCTTGCAGTTTTAAATTTTTGGATGCTTCTTCCCTCTCCCTACTTGTATCATGTATCCTACTCTAAATAAAAGTACTTAAAAATCAAAGGAACTAAAATCATTTAGTCCAGCATAAAATGCAATGTAAATAACAAGTATTTTATCATTTCTATTTTTTCTTATTTTATTATTTTTAAAAGTCCAAAAAGCTAATTATCTGACAGCAAAATAATCAAAAGAAACTCAAAAACTCTACAACCTACTTACTAAACATACCACCATGGAAACTGTTGAACTAGCTCACTTCTAGTGCTCTATTTCCATCCACTACAAATCAATATTTTTGTAAAATACAATGAAAATAAATTACTTGAAAAACGAAATAAAAAGGCACATAAATTATGAGCCTTAACTATTTTATTTGATTCAACTGACAAAATTACTTTATCAGATTGACACAAAAATTACTAGACACTCTCAATTTCAGTTTTCATGGAGGACTAGAAACAAACAATTCTTGGGACTGACCACAGGCCGCATTTTGAGTAATGCTCATCCAGCTTTCAGCCACCTATTCTATCTACACTTCAGTATTCACAATCCTTTAGTATTGACAAGCTTCTCTCACTATTTCTTATCTGTGTCCACAAATGTAAACTCCTTTTGGGTAGGGATTTTGTACACCAAACATTAAAATAGTGCCTGGTAAATAACAGGTGTATAATAAATGCTTATTAAATTTGTTGAGTCCATTAATCAATTCACAGTTCTTTTTTTTTTCTTCTTATTCTTGTATTGTCTCCTTAAAACTCTTCAAAGTCTTTACTTTGAGATTCTATATACTTGCTCTCTAACATTTTTACTGCACATCAGCCAGGACCCTAAAAACTCCCTCTCCCTAGAGATCCTTTTCTAAAGTACCCAAGTCACCCAAATTTCTTCCCAACTCTATTCTTCCAGAATAATGATTTTTAAAAAGAGAAGAAAAAAAGAAAATATTTGTGCTAGAGAGAACCTTGCGAGGAAAAAGCAACCAATATTTAACTCAAACTCATGCAATGCTCGAGTCACTTTGTATTTATTATCTTTATTTAAATCTCAATATTAATTCTGTATGCTAAACATTACCCTCATTTTAAAATGAAGGAAAACTGAAGTTCTAAAAATAAGTAACTTGCTTCATCCCATCAAAATAATTCCTAAGATTTAACTGAGCACTTAACTATAGCCACTATAATTTTCAGAACTATATATCCATTCTTCACATGACCTCTAAAGAGGTGAATCGAAGAACAGAGATTCATCCTGACTGACTCCAAAGGGTGTTCTTTCCTGACTCCTTATGTAGTCAAATCACCTCTCTCATTTAATAGTCAGAGAATGGCAATTTATTCAAACCATAAAACTAATTAATAACAGTGTCAGAGTAGAAATCAGATATTATTGACTTCTACACTAATGCTTTCCCTTATGCATGCCATACCGGTACAGGTACTTCCATAAAGGAAGCACCGGGTCAGATAGTTCTGGCAGTTAGTTGTATCTAGCTTACTGCAGAACTAAAGACAGATCCCCTTTAAGGCAGATACAGAATAGGAGTTTTCATCTGAATTCTTTAGACCTCTTCTCTAACATTAAATTCCCTCCTTCACTAAAACTCATAAAGATTAACAGAGACAATTAGCACTGCTTTCACTATTTCCATATTCACAGAATGTTACAAGTCACCTACAGACAACACTTTGTGAAAATTCTAACCTTAGCAATTAAAAACATTTATTTGAATAAATATTACGCTTTGTTCCCAAATCACTATCCCTTGGGGAGAGGGGAGGGAGTGAAGAGAAGTAAAAAGCTGAGGGTTAACATTTCCTGTGCAAGGTAACCACTTTTTCAATCTTCACTCAAGTTTTACATGTAACTTGAAAGTTACCTTTCAAAAAAGGAATAACATTGTTTTAGCATTTCCTGAATTACCAAGGTCATGTTATCATGTGAATATTAAGAAGCTGGCTTTCACTCTGGGAAATGTAAAATTCAAACTTACGTCAGATTTAGACATGCATAAACATGTTTCATGCATCATCAAGGCATCACTGGCACAGTAAACATTAAATTAATATGTAAACCAATGTAAATTTTCAACAAAAATAAGTTTGTAGAGGTCTCTAATATTACCTAGTCTAGTTTACATCTGTAGTTAAGAAAACTTTCAATTAGGAAACATTATTATTTTAGGTGCTAAAACTTCTCAGCTCAACCAATTTGGATAAAAACTTTTTATAAAATCTTACTTCATTTACCTGTCCAGTAAATTGCTTATTCTGAATACAATGTAACTTTCACATATTCAGTGTTATCATTAAGAATATCAAGTTGACAGTGATTTTTTTTTTAACACGGGTAACATTTAAAAGAAAAAATGATTTTCACATAAAAGATCTCAAGGCATTTGTGTTTCTAATCAGTATTTCTTTAATCTCTTTACTTTCAATCAATTGTCACTTTTTGCTGATGTCACTGAATCTCTTCAATCAGCCCTATGGTACTCTACATAAGAATTAGGACAACGTGAAAGGTTACCAAACGTGCCATATCTTCTAAAGAATAAACGGACTTTACATCTTCTAAGTCTCTCCTACCAAATAAAGTAGGCTAGATTTTACTTATGTTCATTTTCTTCTGGATTATAATCTATCACAAAATAGGAATTAAAAGGAAATTACTTCAGTGGCTGGGCACATAATGGGGTTCAGTAAAGAGGACTAGAGGAGACAGTGTCTACTCAAGCAAATTGCCCAATCTTCCGATTTTTAAGAGACAAGATATCAAGGTTTTTGTTATGTGAAATCTGACAACTTTAAATGTTAGCAACTAGAGAAATTGGGTAGTAGCTAAAGGATAAATATGTCTATTGGTTGCTAGTCTCTGGCCACCTCTGCCCTGAATTCAAGTCATCTCTTTATAGAAGTCATTTTCTCAAAGTATGTATGGAAGACTCAGCCTAACTAGAGCTAAAAGATTTATTCTACTCTTCTAATTCTGTAATGTCAACATTCTATATTGGCTTTACTTAATTAATAAATCTGCCACTACCCAGACACATCAAAGAATGGCTAATATAATAGAGTAGTACCACTCAAAAGACCAACATAAATTGCTCAACCTAGCTAGTTTTTCTCCAGCATTAAAGAATACTAAACCGAGTAGCTTGTTTATATAAAATTTTCTGAAGCCACAAAGAGCGGTTTCAAAATCCCAGCACTTTGGAAGGACAAAGTGGGAGCACCACTTGAGGCAAGTGATCAGCCTGGGAAACACAAGGAGAGTTACCTGATCTCTATGGGAAAAAAATTTTTGTTAATTTTTTTAAATGTTTGAGACACATATTTTAAACACTAGTATCTCCTCCTTGCCACCCCTGCCATCAAGATAGTGAGCTATTATTATAAGGATGAAAATGAGAGTAATTAAAGTCACAGCACACTCACTTCCTATGTCATACTTACTCCAAAGCATAAATTTACTGAAAGTAATGACTGATAGAATCCTTCACAAGCACTGATTGTTTGTTTTTTTTTCTTTTTCTCTTTTAGGGGCAAGTTCATATGACTGGATGACTTACATAAATTAATGTTCAGCTTATGAGAATCCATTACCTCATATAAGATAGTCATCATAACAACCTTAACTATGTATTAAGTTAATAAAAGTTAAAAAAAAAATGCTAAAAGCTGTTAAGCTGAGAAATGGACATTGATTAAGTTAGGAAATTTTACTATTTCATTTTAAAAAACAACAGTAACTAGCAACAAGTATAAACACAAGGTTGTCACAAAGGAGCAATTTTAAAGTCATGTACTTATAGATTTTATACTCTACCTTCATGAACATCAATAAAGAACAAAGATACATTCTAGAATAATTTCCAAACTTAATTCTGCATTGTCTTTGAAGCTACAGTTCTACAAATAAGTGAACTAGATCTGGACACTAATATATAACATTATAATTATCATATATGATCTCATTTCAAAGTTTTCTTCATCATAATAGCCTAATTGTTCTCGTTTTATTAAATGCACATGACAAGTGTTATAAACTTACACTGTAAAATAAATACACAACAATAAAATACCACATGTATGCCTTTTATATATTGGGGTCTTCTCTAAGAATTTAAGTTGCTGTTTGTTTAGAAAATTACTCTATTCAGAAAGTTCAGAACCTACTGTTCTATGTTATATAAGTCAGGGATATATTCACAATACTCTACTGTCAAAGCCAGAGGTGTGTACTACACCATTCAGAAAAAATTTTAATAAGCACTACAATTTAAGCATTTAGTTCTGCTACTTAAAGTTTTATGTGAATAAGAATTTCATTCTCCCACCTTTCTGGATAATCATGGACAATATCTCAATAAACATTTCTATTTCAGATCAATGTTAAGAAAGCTTTATGAAAATGTTGAAACTAAACTTATAAAAATATTTAGTTTTATTCCTCTTAAATATATGAGAGTAAACATTAATGAGATTAAAACGAATA